TTGCGCATGTGGCAAGCCATGCTAGCCCGACACGTTGGCGCCCAACAAGATGGGCACACGAAATGTCCTTGCCGCCACGACCTGCTCTCTCTCTCCATCTCGGCGATCCGGGTCCTGCAACTCCCTCTCACCGCTAGGTGGGCCCCACTCGTCGCCTTCGTCTTCCACAGTTTTGTCTACGCCGCCGCGCACGCGGCGCGAAGCTGGGTGGGCTGGGCGGCCATGGCGAAGCGCAATGAAGCCCATGCGGTCGCTGGTCATGAGAGAGCATGGCGGCATCGGGCAACCGCCGCGGCAAGCTCCCGTCCGACGGGCACGCACGCGCTTCTCTCCTAGCACGGGCACCGTCCCACGAAGGGAACATGAAGCGGCGTTAGTTCGCGGTGGTGGCGTCGTGGAAGCACCGCAGGGACAACGACCACAAGTAGTACTAAGCGGTAGCGCAGGGTGGACGAGCTCGCCCACCACCATGGCGGCCACCACTGCTGCTGGGCCGAGCTCGCTGCGGACAAGGCTAGCTGCTACCGCCAGCGCCGACCTCACCATGCGGCCGGGGCCACCAAAGACCATCGCCACCGAGCTCGCCCTACGCCGGCCGAGCTCGCCCATCAAGATCGAGCTCGAGCAGCTCGTTGTCTCCATCCTCGATGACTCCAGCGTTATGCGCATCATGCGTGAGGCTGGCTTCTCCCGCACCAGTGAAGGCCGTGGAGCAGGAAGTGTGCAGCACCTTGACGAACATGAGGAGATCATCTGACGAGTGGGGCAGGCCGTGGAGCAGGAGATGTGTGCATATGCTGGAGGTGGAAGACAAAGCTGACGAGTGGGGCCCACCTGACAGTGAGAGGGAGCTGCAGGACCCGACTATCAGAGATGGAGAGAGAGAGGAGGTGTCGGGGCAGCGATGACATTTCGCGTGCCCATGCTGACTGGGCGCCAGCGATGTCGGGCTGACGTGGCTTACCACATGCGCAAATGTGGTAAATGAAGAACTTAAATTTCTCTCATTTGGTAAAATTGTAAGTGACATTTTAAAAGTGATAATAGGATGAGCGCAAATCTTAATAATGGTAAAAATATAAAAGCCCCGTAGATGAAGGCTCCGTTCGTTTCGCTAAAAAAAAGCTAAAATATCGTTGATTTATTGTAAAAGAAAAACACTGTTTTCGGCTGAAAAAAAAAGGTTAGAAAAAAACGGATTATAAAAGAAGCGACGAGAGCCTGATGACAAATTCAGTTTTCAGGGTAGTGTAGACATCTGCAGTCCTGCAAGTGCATCTATGCACGCGCACGGCTTCATCAAGACGCGCACCCGTTACAGGCGGCCCCCTCGCGTTTACTTTCTTCTCGGCAGTCGGCATGGGGAGCGAGTGGCGAGTGGCGAGTGATGGGTTTCTTTCTCGGGAACGGAGGCGCCAGCCGATGCCATTATTCTCTGCAGGGATCTGCACGTTTGTGGTATCTGAAGTAAAAGGTTATCTGTTGGACACGGTGACATGCAGAGGATTTCTCTCCTCGGCGCGGGGAGGAGGTGTCTTGCACTGCAGCATGGTGCTCGGCTGCCGCAGCCGCCGCCGCCCAGAAATCCCGTACACGAGCCCATCACGAGATTATCATGACCAACCATCCGCCGCCGCCAACGGGGAGCGGACGCCCGACGGGCGCGGGCGAAACCGCGAAATGATTTGGCACAGAACACTATTGTTTCTGCCTGTTCGGCTTTCGCATGCGTGCGCAAAACCAAAAAGTGCGGCGGTGGGTGGATGGATGGGCCGATGGGGAAGGAAAGAACGACGCGGCCGGGGCCGACCGGCCGGACCGGACGAGGGAGGAAGCATCCGAGCGGGATGGCATGGAAGGCGCACCGTGCTCCGTGCACGAGCAAAATGCTAATCCAACAGGCAGGCGGGCCCCGGGCCCCGGGCCCCGCTCGCCTCGCTAGTGGCGGCCTCGTGGCTGAACTTGAGCCGGTAGAGAGTGTATATGTAGGCTTTGAACGGAAAGCGCGCAGCGCGAGCGTGCGTGCGCCACTCGCCGGCAGGAAAAGCCGCGCGGCCGCTTTCTCTCCGGCTTATCGCCGTACTGCTTCTGCTTGCTAGTACACGACTAGTAGCAGTAAGTACGTGCGCTCGTTCTGTCAGTCGTGGTAAAAGACAAAGGGCACGGTGCAGTTACAGTGATCCGGCTTTTATAAGCATCCCCACCCTTTTCTACTCGGGAAAATTGTCCATGTACCATCCAAAGATTACATGTTCGACAATGCACCATTAAAAGATTGGTTCTTTGATATATACCATGGAAAAATCACAACGTTATAGATCGGTAGCATTTCTGTTAACTTTGCGAACGCCATCCGTTCTGTGTCTCTTTCTCTTTCCACTTCGGTCAAGCGACCAATGGAGGTGAGGAGAAGCCACGATGGCGCTCCGGTGCGGCCGCATGAAGGCGTAGACGCAGCATTGGGTCTGGAGCGCCTAGAGCCTCACTGTCACCGTGGAGGAAGTGGCGGGCCGCGCGAGCAAAAGAGACGAGCGCAGCAAAGCAGCTCCCCGTGGGCGCCAGCGAGGTCCCGGCACCCGTGGCTTTGGTCGCGACGACAAAGTTCCGGGGCGGCTCGTGCGCCACCGCCTACGCGGCTCGCGCGCCATCGCCCGCGCAGCCGCGTGTAGATCTCGCGTGTCGCGCGGCCGCCAGGGAGCTCCTGCGTCTTCCTCGCCCCGCTCCGCGTCCGCCTACCCCACCGAGGGAGAGCCCCGCTCCACGTCCGCCCAGCACGCCGAGGAAGAGCCTCATCGTGCACTCGTGCTCCACACGCTTGCCAACATCAGCCTGCTTTTTTGTTCTTCTTCCTCGTGAACCCCGAGCTGAACCCAGCCGCGCCCCGCCACACAGGACGCAGCGCGCTCACCATCATCATGTCTGGCATCTCGCTTCCCTTCGTGTTTGGCGGCGGCTTTCCGACCTTGTGGGACGGGGACGGGAGTCACGGGACGGCTGCCCCTGCCGCGGCCGCAGGTGGTTGGAGCCAGAGCCGAAGCCGCCCGTCTCCACGCGTGGGGCGGGTCCTTGGCGGCGCGAGTGTGCGGACACAGACGCGGAAGACGCAAGGCGGGCATGCAGCGCGAGCATGGACAAGCAAAGGAAGGCCCTCCATGGCGAAGCGCCGCCTGCTGCCAAGGTCGCCGTCAGCAGGGAGACCGCTGGATCCTTCTCGCCTCGCTCATGTTCCTCCCCGAGACCGGTCCTGCTGCCCCGCCGGCCTTCACCTCCTCGGCTGGCAGTGGCGAGTGCCAGGCTAACCCGACGCCATCCTTGCCTGCTGCGTGCCCGTGTTCTTCGTGGAAAGGCTTCAAAGAAGACGACTCGAGAACGGAGATACAACAAGACGTTAGCGAAGTTAACGGAAGTGGTAGAAACCAACAACGTTATGATCTTTCGGTGCTATACAGCAAAGAAGGAATCTTTTAACGATAGATAGCTAAACTTGCATCTTTTGATCGTACGCAGCCAATCTTCCCTTTCTACTCGGGAGCCGCCACGGGAATGTCGGCTGCTGCCTGCTGCCGGCACGGCGCCAGACGCTGACGCCTTTCCTTATTTTTTGGTCTATAACCGTAGCAGCCTCATTTGTACTGTAATTAACGGTAGAGTACTGAATAATTTGAAGCTAATACACTCCTCATGTTATGTTAAGCTGCAACTGCAACTGCAACTGGATTTGGGATCCAGCGTGCGGATATTCGCAGGGTCCCACGTCACCCGCACCCACCCGCAACCTCGGCCCCACCGGGACCGGGTCCCCACCAGTGGCGAAGCCAGGATTTATACTAGAGGAGCCGGCCATCAGGAATTATACTTAGGGGGCCGGATCGATCTTTTTTATTGCGATAATTTTATTATCTAGTTATGTTTTGTATAATTATATTATCTAGAAGATATTAATAGGTATATATGACAAAAATTTTATATAATCTCCTTCTTAATATAAATAAAAAATATTAAATCATACTACTATTTTTTGTTGTTGTTGCGAAACAGGGGGGCCATGGCCCCTGCCAGCCCCCCCTTGGCTCCGCCAGTGGTCCCCACGGCGGGGAGAGGGAGAGGAGCACTGCACAGCGGACGGAGGGGCACGGCACGGCACCGGGAGAGGCCCGCGCGGCCCCACCACCAGCCTCCCAATACGTGTCGGAGCCGGTACCCACCAGCCGCTCGCGAGCCGAGCGGGGCCAGGTCGCAGGCAGGACCCCACACCTACCGCGGCGCCCGCCGAGGCCCCCACCACGCGGTTCGGCGGCACCGAGGCGGGGCCCGCGCCATCGGTCACGTGACCGGCAGCTCGTGGTTGGCTGGCTGTCCCCAGTCCCCCACCCGCCCCAGCCGGCGCTGCCGCTGGTGCGCTCGCTCTCTCTCAGAGAGCCCCCGCACGGTCCGCGAGGGCGCGCTTTGACCCACCAGGCCACCACCACATCGCTTTGCGCCCGGGGTCCGCGCCCCCACCGCACCCGGAACCACCGGCTCCCGGACCCACACGCCGGAGCCGAAGAAAGGCAACCCACCCCCGCCGGCCCCCACGTCCGGCCGTGTGCGTTAAATTTTGCCACCACGTACGCACGTGCTTCCCGCTCCGCCTCGCCGCCATCCCTGGCAACTAGCAGTAGCACTTGTAGCAGAGTCGAGAGTCCTAAAACCCATCCCTCCTCAGGCTCAGCAAACAAAAATGGCGACACAGTAAAAAAAAGAATTATATTAGCAAAAGGTCGTTAATTTAACTCAATAACAAATCAGCTGCTCAATTTCGTTTGCATTACACGCTGCTTCTACTACGGTACTACCTCTTTCATCTTCTTCTTCTCCCTACCACTAACACTGGGGGTCACTGAACGTGAGCTGCTACGACAGAAAGCATCATGTAGTTCATCATAAGGAGGATTGCAAAAGGGGATGAAAAGTGGTGAGCTTTGGGAGGTTGGACTTTCTGGGCGTACGGTGTGGTGTGTTTACTCTTCTGGGCTGGAGTCGGACACCGGCTCCTCGTCGTCGTCGTCCTCCTCCTCCTCCTCCGGATGGTCGACGTCGCAGCGCCCGCCGCGCTGCTGCTCGTGGGACTGCTGCAGGTGCAGCTGCTCCGAGTTGCTGTTGTGAGACATGCTGGAGATGGGCTGATGCTGCTGCTGGAAGTCGGCGACGTTCACCGCCGCGGGGAACACGGCGGTCTGCGCGCTGCCGAGGTTGATGAACTGCGGCGCGGACTGGATGGCCCAGAACTGCGTGGGCTGGGTGGCCACGCCGCCACCTGCCGCGGCGCCAGGCTGGGGCACCATCCACACGGCGGTGGCCTGCGGGATCATGCGGTTGCCGCCGCCGCCGCCGGGCTGCCGGCCGCAGGGACCGCGAAGACCGGGACGAGGCCTTGCGGGGCGCCCGACGCGGTGATGGGGGCGAGGCCGCTCGGCACCGAGATGGCCGCTCCGCCGGTGCCCTGCAGGAGCGGGTCGGCGATGACCGGGTAGTACGCCGCCGCGGGCGCCGCGGTGGCGAGCGGGAACGCGCCGGCGGCCGCGCGCGTGGGCTGCAGCTTCCGGCGGCGCTTGGCGGCGGACGCCTCGTCGCCGTCGACCACGGTGGTGAGCGACGAGGGGCTGGAAGACGAGGACGACTGCGTGGGGATGCGGAGCACACCGTCGACCGTGGTCGCGATCGCCGGGACCGTGCCGGTGCCCGTGGCGGCGATGATGGCGGGCTCCGACTGCTGCAGCAGCCACCGGATGGTCTCGCCGTCCGACTTGTGCCCTAGCTCCCGCGTGAGCTGGAAGATCCTGGCCGCGCACGCCGCGGGCATGCGGATCCGCCGCCCCCGGCCTTCCACCTTGGTGTGCCGGTCGCGGTTCCGCGGCGGCGGCTTGCTCCGCACCATGGCCATCCCGCCGAAGAACTCCACCGGCTCCGGCTTCGGGACCATGAACCCGTGCATGGGGATCGCGCCCATCGCCATCCCGGCCGCCGCCGCCGTCGCCGTCGCGACGCCGCCGGCTACGTGGTGTTGCCGCGCGCCGTCCCCGTCCTCCGCCCTGTTGTCCTGCGCCTGCGCCTCCATGGCGCGAATCGAAACGAGCGGGGCGGGGAGAGATTGGATTTTCTTGTAACCGCGCTCGCTCCGGACGCTCGGTGGCTCGCTCGTCCCTCTCCTTCCGCGTGGGAGCGCGGAGGTGGGGCTCGCCTCGGACGGTTTACTTGGCTCGCCGCCTCGGGCGAGAGAGCTAGATTTATCAGGCGGTGTCACTTGGCGGTGGGACCATGACGCCCGGGGCCACCGCCGAACCGGGTCACGCCGGGGGACCCGGCTGACCTGTACCGGGGCCCGCCGCATTAATCTGCGCGCCGGGCGCGCATCCGACGGTCCAGGGCGCGTTGTCGTTTGCCCAGCTACCTGACGCGCGGGCCCGTGGCGTGGCCCCCACGCATGATGGTCAAATTTGCAGCGCATTCATGATTAATTAAGGTGTATTATAGGAGCGGCCATTCGGATTAGGGCAAGCATTAGCATGCGCATGGCCTTAAGATTCGCATCCGTGCGTGACTCGTGACCTCCCAGCCACCCCAAGCTTTTCTGACAGGTTGGACCAGTGCTACAATAACGAAAAGAATGTAGTAGATGACAGGTGGCCCCGGCGCGGTGTAAGTGGGGCTGTGGTGGTGAAGACGGGGCCCATGGAGGAGGGACCGGCTATTTCGGGACACGTGTCGTGGGGTGAGCGGAGGTTACGGCTCGTGTAGCGTGTATGGGAGTCTGCGTCCCGGGAGCAAGGGATCCGGAGCGGGACCCGGAGTGGTCGCTGGGCCCCGGATTGGCCCAGCTGGATCCAACGCGATAACTGGGGACCACCTGCCTGTAAGCAAGATCTTGGCCCATCCGTCCAGAGATATCGCGCGAGATCACTGTGCAGTGGTAATCGCGTGACTTGATGAGTGATGACCTTTCGGAGAATATTATATTATATTTGCATGTTTATAAAACAAGCCTCGTCGTAGTTAAGGATCGGCTCCTAAATGTAGCGAAGTTTTGACTAAGGCCCCGTTCAGCTGGTTTTTTTAAGTCAGAATAGTGTTTTTTTTCTCACAATAATTCAATCAAAACAGTATTTTTCAGCCAGTTTCAACCAAGTTTCAGCAAGCCGAACGGGGCCTAAATGATGGTAGCCATATTAGGTTTTTGATTGAGAAGACAAATAATTGCAGCAGAAGCAAACATTAAAATATTAATATATTTCTCTGTGCAACATTATTCGTATATAAAACAAGCAACAATTGCTAATGCTCCTGGTATAGTGTCACTTAGACCCTATTTGGATACAAGTTTTTGAATATTAGATAAATATTATGGTTTTCAAAAGTTGTTGGATGTTTGGATAGACCTTGTAGTTTCTAAAACCATGTTTTTGGTCAAAATTGTAGTCTTCTCGAGTTTTAAAAACTTCTCTCGTAATCTTTTTTAAAACCACAGCTTTATGTTTCTTCGGTTTTTAAAACTACAGTTTTGAGTACTACCTTAGTTTTTTAAAACGGTGTCATCGACATGCTCTTAATGTTTTAGGAAAGGCATTGGCGCGGTACAAGCTACCAGTATGGCAACATCTAATTGCTGGAATTATGAATTGAAATTTTAATATAGGAAAGAGACACAGTACATGGAGCCTGTAATACACAAATACGATGATTCCTGTGTTAGGTCTACGCATAAGTCCCTCGACAATTAAAACATTTGCCTTAGTATTAGTGAAATAAGTCATATAAAAGTAGTGTTGCAGAGCAATAAAAAAACTGGATGCGCGAGGATACGACAGCCCTGAAAACCTCTGCACACCTACCCCACTTATACACAATATTGTTTACGTGAGACCTAGGTCAATCCTTAGACTTATGCTTTTACTTGGGATATTTGAGGGGATTTTTTTTTACGACGCGCAGTTCTTGCTCATGCGAGGCCGGGGTCGAACTCCTGCAGCCTGTTCGGCTGGGATTATATGATCGTAAATTTTTAGCTGGAACAGTATTTTTCTCTCACACCAAACCAGCCAGCAGTACTTCTTCACGATGCAGCAACGAACAAGCCCAGCCAAACGAATAGGCTGCTGACTGTCGCTTGCAGAACAATAAAAGGACAACCTTACAAAAAGGCAATCTTCATGTAATTATCACCCTTAAAATAAGGTAAATTATTACTCATGGATTGTTAGTCGTCTTATCCCGGTTTATTCCATAACATATGCAGTCTTGACCCCACACTGGATGCTTGACATTAGACCACCCATCGTTTTTGCAAATTACCGTGACAAATTAATTACTGTACAAAAGCATTGTTTAGTTGTTTGGATGAACATAGCCAGACACTTGTAACGTTTACATGGCCTAAACTACGTCATTTAAAAAGAACAATGGAAATATGCACACTTTATATGTATATGGTTTTTAATTTAGGGCAATCATGAAAAATTACATCTCATGACTCACTGTGAGTGCTTTGCCGGTTCATGACTTATTGTGGTATAGGTACTAGTACAAGGCGCGCGCCCTCGCGAGCATCTATGAGCATAGGAAAAAAAATTCATGCAGCTATTTTTTTATTTTTAGCCCTTTTTTAAAAAATTTACACAAATATGTCCTTCGATGTAAGATTTCAAAATCTCTACCCTTAACTCGGCGCCATTGTTGCTGGCGCCGAGGTTTTTGGCTCGACGCAAACATGGCGGTGACTTGACAGGCAACTTGGCGTCATAGATCCTAGCGCCAAGCTTGGAGCTCGGATAGCTGTACAGTGGCCTTGCTGCCCCATTCCGTGCGAAACAAATACACCATGCATGCTAGAGCTAGTAGTATATACTACAGCAATCTTGACCGCTTGCGTTCACGAAGTATTCCAAGCATTATCTGGAAATACTCCAGTTGCATGCGTTCCTGCTGCGCTGGTATATATATATATAGTTATTATATTTTGAATTAAAGGGATTTAATTATTTTACCAAGTTCAAACAAGTCGTCTCAGTCTAATACTTTACTTATAATCGACAATTTAGACAGTCAGATTCAATATTATGAGCAAAAGCTAAGCAAAGTTCATGATGAATATAAAACCTCTATGATATGTAAATGGTCTGCCATAAGAGAAAAAGAACTCTACTTTAGACGAGAGTTATGTAGACTTGATAATATCAAGAAAGATAGAGAACTAAAGAATAAATATTTTAAAACACCTGTTGTGATAAAGAAGCAGGAAGATGAGTTAAAAACGAAAGACAAAGAGATTCATGAAGTTAAAGAAGTTGTGCAGAAAAATAATATTGAATACATTACAAATGAAGAAGAGCAGTGGGAGATTAATAATAAGTTTTTATTAGAAAGTTATGAAGAAGAAAATAATGCTGAGAGTTACCAAGATTTTATACTCTTTAGATGATGAAGAGTTATGCAATCTAGATAATGCAATGGAAGGGTTAGATATAATATCTGAAAATATTGATAGCTCAATAGAAACAAAAATTGAATTAATGAATCAAGAAGACTGTGAACATGATTGGATAAAAGGAAGAGGTGATTATAATATAAAATGTATTTTTTGTATATTTTACCCTAGTCAAGAAAACAGACTTACATGTAGTAAATGTTTAAAGCAAGCATGTACTTCATGTCTAAGAATTAATAACAAAAAATGGAGGCAAGAAATAGAGCTAGAACCAGAAGATAAACTATTAATAAGTAGAGTCAGAAATTTGGAGAATAGAATAAATAGCTTAGAAGCTGAATTAGAAGAGCTAAGGAGTAAAATAGAGCTCAATGAAGTAAATAAGATCGAAGAAAATGAAAGAGGCATGACCAAGTTAAAGGATCAAGCCATATCAAATAGAAAAAATGATAAAGCCATATAATTAAAAGATGTCATAATAAACTTTGGTAGCAAATATATAGTTAGATTACCATTTAAAGAGATCATAGGAATAAGAGTACCTGTAAAAGTAAAATTAACGCCTAATATCTTCTATAAAATATTAGCGTTAGTAGACACAGGTTGTACAAAAAATATTATATATGATAAATATTTTGTAAAATGTCCAGAGATAGTTCATACAATAGATCAAGATAATGCAGAAATATCTACTGATATGTCAGGAATAAAAAAGGTTCATAATCAACTAGCTTATGATGTTGAGGTACAAATAAATAACACAAAATATATAATGGATGAAATTACAATAAGAGATTTATCTATGATACATGATGATATGATATTAGGATTAAGATTTTTACAATTCCCTTTACAAACAACAATCATACATGAGCAAGGAATAACATTTATTCCTTATCAAGACAACATTCCATATATGACAGAAGTACGAAAGTCTAATCCAGGAAAGACCAACCTAGAACTCCAAGGATCTGATGAAAATGTTCCTGATAATTATATAGATGAAGAGTTAGGTGAAAATATTGAAGAATTTTATATAGCAAATTCATGCATAGAATGTATCAGTCTGCAATCATTAGCACCTAATTGATATAGAGATATAAAATCTAAAAAGGATATAGATAAAATTATAGCAAGATTAGAAGATATTCAGATAATAGGAGAAATATCAATGAAGCATTGAGACAAGAATGGTATATCATGTAAAATTAACATAATAAATCCTGACTATATAATTAAGACAAGTCCTATAGAAGCAACACCTAAAGATATAGAAGAATTTAAAATGCATATTGAAGAATTACTAAAATTAGGAGCTATAAGAGATAGCCGAAGTCCTCATAGATCAGCTTCATTTATAGTTAGAAATCATGCTAAAATAGCTAGAGGAAAGTCAAGAATGGTTATTAATTATAAAAGGCTAAATGATAATACTATAGATGATGCTTATAATATCCCAAATAAGCAAGAATGGATAAATAGAATACAGGGAAGCAAATATTTTTCAAAATTTGATCTAAAAGCTGGGTTTTGACAAGTAAAATGGCAGAAGAATCAATAGAATGGACTGCTTTCACATGTCCTCAAGGTCATTTTGAATGGCTAGTAATGCCCCTGCTTTATTTCAAAGAAAAATA